CCAACCACGGTTTTGAGTATCCATGGTTAATATTCTGTATACCATTTTGGTTACCATGGTACACAGTTTTGAGTAACCATGGTTTTCTGTGGCTGCACATCAGCCCACCAACCCCCTGGCCCTGTTCATGCCTCTCCCCACCCTTCTCCCCAACAGCCCCTGCTCCCCCAGCCAGAGGCAACTATAAGATACAGACAAGGTCTATACATTTAAATTTATCTATCTTCACATATCAAGAACATAATAGAGGAGAAAAAAGGTGGTCTTAAATCCTTGAGAAACTAAATTAATGGAAAACACCCTGGAATCTCACTAGAGACTGGCCTAAACAGCAGAAAAAGCAGCAACATAATATTAAATGGCAAACTCTTAAGACCAAGAGAAAGATGATGATGATGATGATTAGAAGGGCAAGGAGAGTGGGAAAAGCCACAGGAGTAGGAGAATTTAAGGGGATTTGAGTGGGCCTGAATATGAGGGAGAGGGAATGTAAAAAGAAAAAAAATGGAAACGGAAATACAGATTTCCCTTGCCAACTGCAGGAGTTCCCATCGTTGTCAAAACCATGGTTGGTAAAACTAAAGGCTTATGGGAAAAATGGGGTTAGGGATTTGAATACTGTACAGTATAGTGTAAAAAAATCATTTTTCTTACCTTTAATACATGGGGTGGTCAACCAGGTGTAGGTGTACCCCTAGGGGTACTTGGACAGGTTATAGGGGGTACACACCGGTGGGCGGGGACAGAGCGTGCATAGGGCCTGGCGGCAGCATCTCCCCCGGCACATTTGCCTTTTACCCAGGGGAGGGCGAGGGGAGGAGAGGGGAGAGATGCGTCGGCCAGCCCCGTGCAGCACACTGTGGCACTTTCCTGCCCACACCCATCTGAATGTGAAACCCTAGACTGTGATCCTATCCACACCTTAGGGCACAAACCACCTTAGGGATGATAATATGGTCTTTTGCCTCCCTGTACCACGCCCATGCCTTGCAAGTGTTACCCAGTATCAGTTCAGAGGGCATCCTTTGCCCCAATGCAGCACTTAGCTTTGTGGGCCTCAGCCTTCTCAACCTTGGCCCTGTTACTCTGGCTGTGCCCCTCAGCCCAGGTCCACTGCCTCAGACCTTGGCTCCTAGGTCCCAGTCCTGTCTCACTGTCTTGTGGTCCAAGCTCCTCTCCCTTTCGCGCACTATATTCCAGCCCCCTGGGGACCTTGAACCAAGCAAAGCTGTTCTTCATCTGCACAGCCCCCTAGGGTCCCTGACTCAGATAGGGTTCTATGCTGGTTGCCCCTCAGGGATCCCTGTGGCCTCCATACCACCCACATAACTACAACCCAGTTCTCTAGCATCAAGCACAAGTGCAACATAAATAAAAGTAAACCACTTCCAAATTAAAATTCTCCCCCACTCTGGGTCAATGCCACACCACAAGCCATAATTTCCCCTTACCAATCTCCTTCAAGCTTTTGCAGCTAGCTTGGGTGCCTGTGGAACTGCTTCCTGAAGCACCTAACCCCAGGAAGCTCCCCTCTCTGAAACACACAGGATCAGATTGCCAGCTATGGCTCACGCCCTGTGTATAAGCCCATTGCCCTTTCCAGTCATACGGCTCCTCAGACACACACAGCAGTTTCCCCTTTGCTTAATAGCCAGCTTGCACTCCTCTGCTGTCGCTCCACACAGCAAGCTTAGCCTGTTGCACTGTCCATTTAAAGTACAAGGAGTCTCTGGTTCTTTGTTACTGTCCACTTACAGGGTATACACATTCTACAACAGGGGAAATGCTTTTGGGGAGTCCAAAGGGTCAGGGATCAGCAATGTTTGATGATTGTGTCATCTCTCCCATGGAAATCTAGCTTCAGATAGCCATATGCTCCCATGATGTCATCTGAGCCTGTCCCATTTAATAGTTTCCAAAGGAATTGTCCCCCATGAATATGTCTAATCCCTGTCTGAACCTGGTTATACTATACCTCTACAACTGCCCAAGGCAATGAGTTCCACAAGTTAAATACACATAGGTTGTGTCTGTAGTAGGCAAGATGAGTTATGCTAAGGCTTTTAGCCATAGTCCAGGCCTTCCCAGAATTAAAAAACAAAATTGAACAGAGCGCCTCCTATGGCACTGGGAGATGTGAGTGCTGTGATTGGGCAGCAGGTGAGCAAGGGACAGAAGTTTCCCTATAAGAAATGTGGCCAACACAGTGCCAGGGGATTGATGTACCATATAAGGAATGCTTGGCACAGAGCCAAGGGATTGGACAATTTGGGATGAAAGAATTTACAAAAGTGATGGACAAACAAAGGAACACGTGTGTGCCTTCTGTGTTGCCACCCTGGGGAGACAGGAACAACCTTGGACTTCTTGTCTGAACAACAAGGAATCCAGAAACTAACATCCCGCACACCCAGCAGAGGATCTGAGACCACTGAAAGTCGTTGCTGCAATGCCTGAAGGAACCACTTGCCAGGTCATATTGCAAGGGAGAATACTTGTAATAAGCCTAGGGGTTACTATTAAAAGTTCACTTGATACCAAATCATGTCAATCCTTGGGGGTCTCTGGTAAAAGGAATCCTAGGGGCAACAGCATCCACACATCACCCTATGGAAGCATAGCGATGTGCTACGTCACTGTATGGTGCACTATGGCAACAGAGTGATCATGTGTGTCTATACATGATCACCAGCTACGTCACCATAGTAGCATGCTCCCCGGCTATAGCATGCCACTATGGTGATGTAGCTGCAAAATCTAAATGTGCGCCACCCTCACAATGCAGTAACAGCCTGTACTGCTCCATGTTTTAGTACTTCCAAAAGGAAGTACTAAAGCATAGTGCCATAGCAATGTTGCCATATGGGGACACAGATGCACCCAGTGTGTAAAGAAGCACTTCCTCTTATTTCTTCTAACCTGTCTCCTGTTAATTTCTAGCAATTCTAGTTCTTGTGTTCTAGGATTTGACAAATGATTGTTTCCTCCATATTTTATCAACAACATTCATGATAGTGTGTACCTGTATCATATAGACTTTGGCCCTCTCCTTTCCAAACTGAAAAGTCCTAGCATTTTTACCTTCTTCTGGTACAGTAGGTACTCCATATGTTGATCATCTTTGTTGCCTTTCTCTGTACCTTTTACACCAAGGCATGATGGGCAAAAGTGAAGGAAGGGTACCTATAATCAAGTTAAGGCAATAGCCATTTGGACACCAGGGGGCACCATGGTCACCCCTGGGTCCTGGTACAGCAAAAGCTTTGTTATCTGGCACCCATGGGGAATGGGGGGTGCCAGATAACCAAATATGCCAGTTACCTGAGAGGCCCGAACAGGCATCTTTGACTGTTCGGGCTGTCGTCCGTTCCACCACATCCGGTGCACCGCCACCCCTCCTGCCATGTCAGTGTGCCGGGGGACAGGGAGGGGGGCCCCAGGCACACTGGGGAAAGGGTGCTATGCCCCGGGATTGGGGGCTCAACGGCACAGGCTGCTTTGCCCCGGGCTGTGGGGGCTTGGCGAAACTGGAAGTGCCATGGCGGGCACTTCTGGTTTCTCTTTTGCTACGTCAACTGGCATGCTGGTTAGTAGAGCATGCCAGTTTGTAAGGTGCCAGATAACGCGGCTTTTACTATACTACTACAGCCATGCACCCCACTACAGAAGAGGACAAAAACCCGCACAGTCGGTACCAATCTGACCATGGGATAAAAATTTCTTCCTGACCCCAAATATGGTGATCAGGCCATGGGGAGGATATGGATACTTAATGAGTGCAAAGAGACACCCGAAAGACAAAAATAACCAAAAGACACTTGACAGTAAGACCCATTGAAGAAATTGTGATAATAAATTTTTAAATTCTATTTATTTAAATAAATACAATTGAGGTGATCAGGTGATCTTGTCCCCTGAGCAGAGGGACAAAACCCTCAAGGCAGGAATTTCAGGGTTTAAATGCTAGCAGGAATATTGGCGTTTCTTCCTCACAATCCCATATCTTGGCTGCAGCCAATACACGCCCTTTCTGAGGAAAGCATTAAACAAACCCTGATATAAGCAGCAGCAGGAGGGGAAAACATTTCCCTCTCAGCCCTGTGAGGTAACCAGCAAAGCCCAGAAGCATGCAAAATCCCTATAGTAGAGCATAGGCATACCTGCTACTTTGCTGTGTTTTAATAAAGTGTGTGTGTGTGTGTGTGTGTGTGTGTGTGTGTGTGTGTGTCTGTGTGTGTGTGTGTGTGTGTGTGAGGGTGGGTTTCAGGAGCTTTAGGAAGGTGTGAGAAACATGAGCCAATGAAGTGCTTTGTCTTGAGGTGAGGCTATTGGGGGGAACAGAAAGGAGGCACCACACTATCCTTTTAGTGCAGAACACAAAAAGGAGAAGCATAGTCAGTCTGTGGGCAGTGATATGACAAAAAGACTCCAAGCTTGAGCACTTGTGCCACATGCACACTCATAGCAAGCATGTGCATATGAGCTTTCACTCAATGAAGATCCCACACAGCCTGAAAACTTAACATTCAAATATCACAATATCTGGCTTTCATGAAAAAATGAAGGGCATTAGGAATTCTTTTGAACAGCACTTAGCAAGGGACAACTTAGGAATAAAATGAATTTTCAGAATGACACCAGCTGTAGGACAAAAGAAAATGTCCTTTTCTTTAAACCACACACACACACACACACACACACACACCTGCCAGTTTAATATTTCATCTTCTCTCTCTCAGTGGCCACGTCTACATGATATGCTGACTATGCAGTTGCTTGATACTACTACTGCACAGCAGTGTCACGTGGCAACAACCATGACATGACACTACTGCGCAGTACTATCCAAGGTACTGAGCAACAGCCTCACAAAAAAGCCATTTGGCAGTGCTGCTGTGCAGTAACTTGGGTTACTGTGCAGTCTTTTAGTACTTGATAAACAAGTACTAAATGACTGTGTAGTAACGACTGCTCAGTCAGTGTTTTGTGTAGATGCGGTCAGTGTTTCCAAAATATATACTGCAGTTTTTTAAATGGCAACCAAAAGATACACTTGACAGTAAGAGCCTCAAAGAAATCACGATAATAATTTTTAAAGAATTTATTTAAATAAATACAGTTTTGCCTTCCTATTTGCTTTCTAGTTATTGAGGCTTTGTGGTAGCTTCAGAAAGCAGGTCAAGCTTTCCAGGACTAAAAACAGGACTGTTAGACTTTTTAAAAAATGACAGCTGAGATTTTTACAGTGTCACTTGTCTCCAGGAGTCTTGGGAGTTTATATTAAAACATCCAGTTGGGACAGGCTAGTAATTTTACCATGAAAGTTGGCAAAACTTAAGCCATACTTTTTTTTTTTTAATAGCATTCACTTGCAATCTATTTGAAAGCTTTATCTGAAACACACAGCTCATTTTTTTGCACTAATTAAGTGCTCATGTTCTTCCCAGCAAAGTAAGCATTTGAGATTGGAATCAACCCTCACTGTTTCAGTCCTGCCATTGACTTGTGTGTGTTTGGAGATTGCCTTTATTGACTGAAACTAACAACAAAATAATTTGCTATTGCGTAACAAAAACTCATACATCCTACAATGCAAAATGGGATATTTTGTATAGATTTTATAGACTGCTGCACCATTGAAGTAAAAGAGCATTTTGCCACTGACTTAAGTAAGAGACATGCTGCATCTTTAGCAGAGTGGTTCTCAGCCTTTTTGGACTGAAGGCACACCTCACTGAGTGGCACCCAGTTCCAAAAACTTATTTACAGATTACAGTGATTGCCTCCTTGCAGACTGGCCAGGCAGTGAGGGTAAGAGATCAGCTAGGCAGGGACAAGCCCAAGCCTGCACTTATCTGTTCATCTCCTCACACCTCACAGCACCCTTCAAAGGAACTGCACAGCACTCTGGTTGAGAATTACTTATACAGCAAAGAGTATTTCATTCCTGACAGTAATTTTACTATGGAAATGCTGAACATATTGGAGGGAGCAACATTTAGAAACAGAAAAGTTTTTTGAAATATATTACTGAGTAGAGTATGGAAAACCTTTTATAGTTCCCTTCTTATCTCACTTGAGGGACTTTATACACCATTACTTAAAAATCACTGGCAATTTTGGGTTCAGTACTCTAGGAATTAATATGCACCATATGAAAAATGTAAACTCCAGCTAATGCCATATTTTATATAAAGCTTCAGTTTACAGGCACTTAAAGGGGGTCTAATAATTCAGCTCGACTTAAAATTGGACTCAATATTTTGTCAGATAAACGTGAGAAGAAAGTTGAAAATTATCTAGGAACAACATGCACAGTTAGAAATGGGGAACTGCTGAAAATGTATTATAAGGAGTGCCATTTTGGAATGAGTTAATATCTTGAAAGCTGTTGGTTAGGCATTTAGGGGTGCAACTACAAAGGGACTTGGGGGATGCATCACTCAACCTTTAGGGGTACCTGCTGCAATCCTGGACCCAGCTAGGCACCTAATTCTGCCCAGGTGTTACATGGGGAGTCTGGGTGCCTAAGAATGGGATACATATACAGCAACATTGTGAGCAGGAAGCTGTCTCAACATTTTCTATTGGATAGCATAGCAAACAAGTGATCCTATTCTTTGCTGCTATTTAGCCACCTAAGTTTTTCCTGGAGTTAGCCACTAAATCCTTGTGAAAGAGAACAGCACGATTCTCCCAACACACATGCACTCTTTTAAACCTAGGTGCTGTAACACTCACTAGCAAGATGGGGGGAATGCATTTTCAAATTCCTTTTCTGCCTTATTGGAACAGAGACTCAAATAAATTCAAAGCAACCGTTCAATGTCACTATTTCATATTCTGAGAGGACTATTTTCTCATGCTTTCCTATAAAAAACACTCCTCTTTGTGGAAATATGGTCATTGGAGCATGAATGGAAACCTCCCTTTCACATATCCCAAGCAGTATCCTAAGCACTGGACTACTGAGACCCACACGGTCTCTCATTCTCTACTATCATGGGAGGATGCTTACTCCAACAGGTGTACTGAAAAAAGTATCTACCGGATTGTACCTGCAGGTGAGGTAAGCAGGCAACATCTACTTTGAGACACCAGGATTTAGCCTCCAAGCAGCTCAGATGCATCAGGATATAGACAGGGTTTGCACATATCCACAGGCAGAAATTTAGGCACTTGCATGATTAGGTAGAGCTGAGAAGGATGGTATTCTGAAGATCTAAACAATGAAACCTAGGTTCCTAAGTACTTAAAGTAACAGTTATGTACCAAAGCCCCTTTGGTTTTGGTTCACTAACTTAAAAAAAATGCATGCACCTTTTTGCATAAGTTCTCTGTCTGTTGCTGTAGCTTGTATTCAAGCAAGCTTCCTATTGAAATCATCAGGAATTTTGTTTGGGTAGAGAGTGCAAGATTGAGCCCTGGATACAACACAGGAAAATCTACAGTCAATCAAATCACATTTTTCTTGTTTGGTTATACGGAAATCCATAAATGAAATATGTAACATCAGTGACAATCTTCCAGCAACCATTTCTACAGAACATTTCTTTTTACTATGAATTGTCAGAGGACTGCTTATTGAACTACATGTAATTTTTTATAATTAATGAGTCACTAAATATGTAAAATTTTCTAGTCATTTTTTTGTGATTTTTCGAACCGTGCCAAAAAAGCCTTCCACATGCTCCCTGGTATTTGTTGATGTCTGTGTATCAGATTTTGGAGCGCAGTCTTTGTCTGTTAAAGGAAAAAGAAAGAGACAGTTAAACTTTTATGAGTCTTGACATTATGCAGCCATGCATATAGTAGAGCCCCAACTTCCTTTTGCAACCTTGATATGAGGAGTTGCGGGAGGGTGGGAATTATTGGGAAAATGTGCATGTGCTAGTTGTCTCTATAGAATTTTTTTAATGAAAAAGAATTACAACGATAATTTTGGAGAGCACATAAGCAGCTGCATAACTGTCATTATGGGTTTTCAAGACATGGTAACATTATGTGCATACATACTTTGGGTTTTCTAATTCTCATTGAAACTGTCTAGTAATAAGGCTTTGTGAGGTCAGTACCCAGATCTTCCAGAAGTCAAAGTTATGGAAATCAGGTGAGCAGCTCCCTCAGCTTGGGAGAACTTTACAAGGAAAATCCTTTGAAAAAGACTTGGCACTAACTACAGAGATCAAGGCCTGCCTAAACAGTTCCCCTGATGAAAGAGAAGGGGCCTGACTGGCTCTACAGCTAAATTCCTCTGAAAAGTCTGTTTTCTCAAGAACAGTTCTTACAATCAGAGCAGGCTGAGGAAAAGGGGGTGTCTAGAATGAAAAATTTAATTCCTAGTTTTGTAGAACTGATTGAAGTAAATATTTGTAAAAGAGCATGAACTAGAAGCTGTAATACGGTAAGGTACAGCTAAGGTACAGCTTTAATAGACTTCTTAAGAGTTGTCAACTGTCAGTAAACTTGCTGACCATCACTAGAGAAAACAGGCTAAGAATGGCTATCAGCAGGGATCCTGATTTTCTCTGAACCCCTGCCCCCCCCCCACACACACACACACAATTCTCTGCTAAAAAATACCAAATTCTCTGCTAAAAAACTCAAAATCTGCAATTAAACTTAAAGGTCCCCCACAGCCCCCTCCCCCCCGGCCCTGCTGGTGCCCCTCACTCCCCACCCACAGCCCTGCTCCCCCAGCCATGCCGGAGGGGGCCCTCAACTGCCAGGCTATGGACCTGGGTCCACAGACCCTATGCAGGCCCTGCCACCACGCGCACTCCCAGGGTGGAGACCCACATCCCCCAGATCTGTAGACAGGGCAGGTGCAGGCGCAGGCTGCAGGCTCAAGCTCCCACCCTGCTTCCCTCCCCCGGGGATTCCAGAGCCTGGCACGCATGATCCGGTGTGACCGGGGATAGCAGGGCCATGCAGGGATCTCCTTGTTCTGCTCTCCCCCGCCCACGCCCTGACCACACACCTCCTGCTTCTGCTGCTGCTTTGAGGGGTGCAGTCCCATGGTGCTGCCTTCACTACAGCCCCATGTCCAGGAGGCACATCGCCAGGGCAGTGCAGGGTGAGCGGCAGTAAGTAGATCCCCGTGTGGCTCTGCTGCTGTCTGCCGTGCCAGGTTGTGCCTGCTGGGCTCTGGAGGCAGGGAAGCAGGGAACAGTGGAGCTGTGCAGAGGAGCTGCTAGCCACTGTTCCCTACCACTCTGCTTCTCTCCCCCAGGGCCTCCAGAGCCCAGCAGGCATGACTGGGCATGGCAGAAAACAGCGGATCCATGTGGGGATCTCTTTGCCACTGCTTACCACCAGTGCAAGGGGCTGCATTGAGGGCAGTGACAAGGAGCTCATTGCAAAATGGCAAAATCCATGGGTTTCTCTTGTAAAACGAGAAATCCGTGTTTGCTTCTGGTTTACTCCATTTTTCCATGGGAAGTGGGAAACCCGGATCCCTAACTATCAGTAAATGCTAGGAAACCAGGATGTGGGATGTCTTGCCTAGTAGTAAGACCTGAAGCATAGGTGCAGCCCAGATCAACTCCACAGGGAGGTGGGGGCTGCAGTAGGGTCTTGCATCAGAACTGGAGTTGAATGTAACAGGGGCTCAGGCAGAAGCCCCATTACTAGGGTAGCCATGGGAGTGGGTAACCATAGCGGGTACCTTACACAGGTGGGGGGAATCACACACTGGGGAGAGATCAGGATAATTAACTCGCCATGGCCAGTATAAACCTGGCGACGAGCAAGCACACCTTGCTTCCGGGTACTGGAGGAAGAACAGCGAATCGCAAGATAAGAAAGAGAGAGAGAAGCCCAATCACCCACCAAAAAGGGGCTGAGACTACCAACCCCAGGATGCCACAGCTGGCTAATAAGGAGAGGGGTACTCACCCGAGGGGCCTGCCACCACGCGCACTCCCGGGGGGGAGATAGCCCTGGGAAGAGTCGGGGCTCGGGGGATTGTCGGGCCATGAAGAACCCCGAGGTAAAGGTATTTGGGACAACACAGGCAGCTAAGGCTGTGCAGTGCCGGCTGCACTACTGGATAGCTAAGAGCTGAGCCAGCTCCACCATTAGACACGGCAAGTAACTGCGAAGGCAGCTCTCTGATCACTACTTGTAGAGGTGCAGGGAATGCGCCCTGCTGATGACTTAATTAACCGGGAAGACGCCACTTGAACTAAGAATAGTCTAATAGCATCTGGGGCATGCCCCAGCCAGGGGGGTTATCGGCTCAACTACAGAGTTTCCCTTGCTAATGAGGTAATTGGTGAGGTGAATACCACTTTGTAACTGCTTGCTAAATAAAAATCAGTACCATGTGAATTATCATCTGGGAGGTCTGTGATGTTTTCCTCACCCCTAAAGAATGTAACTGAACCTTTTTTTCTTTTCAATCGAAGTTGTGGCAGGTGAGTTCAGAGGGGGAAACAAGGTAGATCCAGCTGCCCTCCTACATTGGAAGCCAGAGCCAAAGTCAGAACAGGCCAAGGACAGAAGCCATAGCTGGAGACAGGGTAAGCCAAGGCTTAACCAGGATCACAAATCAAAAGACAGTGCTGAAGGTCAAACCAGAACCAAAAGCAGACAACTGGAATCAAGGAATGCCACAGATCTTACCACAATACCAACAAGGAAGTGCATGGAAGGCTGGGAGCAAGAACTTTTGAATTTGCTAAGACAAGGATAGATCTGGCTTTTAGTGGGTAGAGTAGCTGGGGCCTGCTGCCTGCAGCTGCAGGTGGCTGGCTACCTGGATTGCCTTATTCAACCCAGCTGGGACCAGGCCATGTCTCTGGGGTTGCATCAGGTAGCACCTGTTGCATCAGGTAGCACCTGTTCATCAGATGACTAACCCTAATATCCTTATTGCAGCCAGCTGGGTACAGCCCCTAAAGGCAAGTGTGTCTTCTCTTCCAGGTTGGCTGATCTCATACGGTGTGCTTTATACTAGCTCTGCCAGGCGATTGGGCCACAGGAGGACACATCCCAGCCAAGACAGGTGATGAGCACAAGAAGTACCCAGATAGGTGATAAGGGTTTGGAAAGCCCTAAGAATTGGGGGGGGGAGGAGACATGCACCGATAGTGTAAAGGCATTTAAGGCCTCCTAATGCTCAAAGTATGGAGAATAAGCAGGAGGAACTCGCCCTCCAGATACCTGGTACAAACCCAGACATAGTAGGGCTCACTGAAACCTGGTGGACTTCAACTCATGATTGGGTGGTAAACATTAAGGGCTACAGACTATACAGGTGGGACAGAATGGGGAGGAAAAGCAGAGGTGTGGCACTCTATGTCAAAGAGCAATACATGTCCTCAACTAACAGGATGGGGTCAGAGGAGGGGCAGACTGAAGTGCTCTGGGTCAGAATACAAGGGGGACCAGGGGAAAGGAACTTAATGGTGGGGTCTACTACAGACCACCCAACCAGGGGGAAGAGCTGGACCAGGAATTCTTGGGTCAGCTCGCGGAGGCAGTTAAGTCAAGGGATGTGGTCATCATGGGTGATCTAAACTACCCAGACATTTGCTGGGAGGAGCAGTCAACCAGGTTCCTTGCTGAGATACAAGACCTCCACCTAACCCAGAAGATGCACAGTCCCACCAGGGGGAATGCCCTGCTGGACCTGGTCCTGGCCACAGGCAATGACTTAGTGAGGGGACTCCAGGTTCTTGACCAACCTGGGCGATAGCGATCATCACCTACTGGAATTCACCATCCAGCACAGGGTGTCAAGGGCCTGCAGCAAGGCAGCAGCCCTGGACTTCAGGAGGGATGACTTCAATGAGTTGAGGAGATTGGTAGGAGAGGCATTGCGGTCCCGAGAGTAGGGGAACTAGGTGTCCAAGATGAGTGGTCCTTCCTTAAGGAGACGATCCTCCGAGCCCAAGGGGCGACAGTCCCAACGTGAGTCAAAGCAGGAAAAAGTGCTCAAAAGCTCCCTTGGCTCACCAGAGGCATTCAGGAATGTCTGAAAGCCAAAAAGGAGGCATACATCTAGTGGAAGGGGGGGCTATCACCAAAGAGGATTATACCTTCATAGCATGAGTCTGTAGGGAGGCTGTTAGGAAGGCTAAGGCAGAGACAGAACTAGGGCTAGCAACAAGGATCAAGGACAGAAAAAAGTCTTTTTTTTTTAAATACATAGGGAGTAAAAAGAAGGCACTAGGCAACGTCAGGCCCCTGCAGGATATGCTTGGCAATCTGGTGGTTGCACAACATGGAAAAGCAGACCTTTTTAACAAATTCTTTGCCTCCATTTTTCTGAGCAGGGACCAAGGCATCTCCCCCACCTGGATTCAGGAGGGACTCCACCAGGCCTTGGGTCAGGGAGGACCAAGTTAGGGAACTTCTGGAGGGGCTGGACTTGTTAAAATCAGCAGGTCCAGATGCTCTCCACCCCAGGGTGCTGAGGGTATTGGCAGGGGTCATCGCGGGGCCCCTGGCATAGCTTTACAAGTACTCATGGTGCTCTGGCCAGGTGCCTTAAAACTGGAAGAAGGCCAATGTGATCCCAATTTTCAAAAAGGGAGGAAGGAGGATGCAGGCGACTATAGGCCCATTAGTCTTACCTCAGTCCTGGGGAAGGTCTTTGAAAAAATTATCCACGAGCACATCTGGGAGGGACCAGCAGGTGGGGAGGATGCTCAAGGGCAACCAGCATGGTTTCATTAAGGGCAGGTTCTGTCAGACCAATCTGATAGCCTTCTACGATCAGGTCACAAAATCATTGG